CTGAGACTCTATGTCCAGTCCTCCCTGGGACCCCTGGGTGGCTCAGTCAGTTAAGCATCTGCCTTCAGCTCGGGTCATGATCCCAGGGTCCTGGGATTGAGTTCCGCATCGGGGTCCTTGCTCAGCGTGGAGTCTGCTTCTCCCTCTGCCTGCCGCTCCCCCTGCTTGTGCTCTCTCTCTCTCTGACAAATAAATATGTCCATTCCCCCACAACTGCTGCTAGTTCAGTCTCCAGAATTCAACAGAACCCTTGAGGCAAAAGCTGATGGTGGATCCTGCTTAAGAATCGCTCTCCTCGGGGCACCTGGGTGGCTCAGTGGGTTAATGCCTCTGCTTTCGGCTCAGGTCATGATTCCAGGGTCCCGGGATCGAGCCCCGCATTGGGCTCTCTGCTCAGCCCGGAGCTTGCTTCCTCCTCTCTCTCTGCCTGCCTCTCTGCCTACTTGTAATCTCTGTCTGTCAAATAAATAAATAAAATCTTAAAAAAAAAAAAAAATCGCTCTCCTCCCTCTGCTCCTCCCCCACCCCCCTCCTTCTAAAAATTACTTAATTAAAATTTGTGTTACTTTGCACTTGATGTGAGTATTCCTACTCACATGGCAGTCTGTAGTCTATAAAGAATTATAGGATGCTTAGTTCTGCCCTTTGCCCTGTCCTGCAAGGTAGCACTCCTATGATGTGGGCACTGCTACTTGCAAGGTTAGAAATAAAATAACCCTATTTAATAAATACATACATACATCTATACACACACACACACAGAAACTGGGTTTTAAAAGTTATACTTTTTTTTAAGATTTTATTTATCTACCTGACAGACCACAAGAAGGCAGAGAAGCAGGAAGCAGGCTCCCTGCTGAGCAGAGCCCTATGCGGGGCTCGATCCCAGGACCCTGAGATCATGACCTGAGCCAAAGGCAGAGGCCTTAACCCACTGAGCCACCCAGGCGCCCCTTAAAAGTTATACTTTTCTTCCAAAGTAAGGAATAACTCTGCCATTTCCTTAAATGGCCATCAGCCCAAATATTATCCTTTGTATTCTTTGATTAGTGTTTGCTTTGGTCTGAAAAGGGGATTTGGTCTTGGTTTCTGGCAGACCGAACACTGGGCAGTATAGATGCACGAATAGGCCTTCTTGGCATAGCCACCCTGGCTGGAAGGCACTATTATGGCTTGTCTTTGCCTAGCAGTGTGTTTTCAACCAAGTACCCGGTGCTTAAGGTTCTGAAATCTCTTTCATTCAGATGTCCTCTGAAACTGAGCAGCCTGAAAAATAGGTGTAGAAGTCTTACTGTTTGCTCTCAAGGATGCTCAAGGAAGGCCCAAATTATACCTGGAAGAGGCAATGTTTATGCTGCAGTGTCCGGATATTTTAATCTTAGGTATTGTTGTGGAAGCCGGAGGAATTACCTATCAACTTGTATCCACCCCTAAAACTAATTCATGGCCATTAGATTTCTACAGACAAAGCCAGTATGTTTACTGACCTTATTTGGCACCGAGCTGGCATTAACCTTGGCAAAGGAGTGTTTACAGTTAAGGTGCCTGCGCAGGTATCTCTCTACTATGCAGTGCAGAAGGAAACAGTCTCTGGAGGAAGTCGGAGAAGCTGTAACTGCTATTAGGCAAGTTTACATTTTGAAAGATGATGGCCAGAAGCCAGGGAAAAGCATCCGTCCCAATGCCATCTGTGGCCCATGATTTGAAGAGATTCTGCCTTATGGTTTTAAAATCCTTAAAATCAGGTATAAAAAGAAAAGTAGTCTTCAAAGAAATGTCGAAGCAGCTGTGGCAGCCAGCAAATACTGTGTACAAACCTATTCAGTTTTGGGTGGTGATACTTTCTGTATTTGGTAATTAGTATGAAGGTATAACAGAAGTTTTTAAAGGCTTTCCTGCTGAAGCTTAAACTAAAACGTGAAGGATGAGTGAGACTTAGCCAGGCACAGGAAGAGAAAGAATGTTCTAGGCAGAGGGAAGTATATGTGGGCAGAAGAGGCAAAGAACATGGTACAAGGAGCCATGAGACTAGGGTGACTGGAGCATAACAAGCAAGAGGAAGTGAAACTTGGGGAAGTAAGGAAAGTAACATTTGCAGCTTCAAAAGAAACCATAAATTAAACCTGAATATTTTTCAGACAGTATAGTGTCGTTCCTTAAAAAATAAAATTAGTTGAGATTGTTCTATTTTTTACTCACGAATACACTGACTTAATATGAGTTTAAGGTCAATATGCATAAATTATTACATAAACATACATAAGTTGTCTAATATAGAGAAACAAAAAATATACATATAGGATAGCCTAGTTTTTGGTATAGATCTTACCTGGTATCATTTGAATGATTCAGAAATGTATTTTATCACATAAAGCAACAAATATTATCTTGTTTTGGACTGTTGATAAAATAACTTTCCCTAAAGAGAAAATATTTAGATCTTAAAAATCTTGTACCATGGGATGCCTGGGTGGCTCAGTTGGTTAACCCGCTGCCTTCGGCTCAGGTCATGATTCCAGGGTCCTGGGATCGAGTCCCACATCGGGCTCCTTGCTAGGGAGGGAGCCTGCTTCTCTCGCTGCCTCTGCCTGCCACTCTGTCTGCTTGTGTGTACTCTCTCTCTCTCTGACAAATAAATAAATAAAATCTTTAAAAATAAATAAATAAATAAAAATTAAAAAAAAAAAATCTTGTACCATAAGATTTTATTCTTGGCAAATGGCAGAAACTATTTTTTCCATTTATCATGCTTAATTGGTAGTGCTACAGAAATCCTTTCAGTTGGCCCTCATAACTATGTTCAATTTGCTTTATGAAAGGAAACTGGTATTCCTTTAACCCACTAAAGCAATCCAGAAAAGAGGCAATAAGGCATATTTTTGAGGAAAGGAAAATACTGTATAGATATTACACTGTAGGAGGAAAAAATATACAAACAGCTTAATCCATCATCATACCCAAGTATATGACATTGGGAAGGGAGCATTAAAAAAAATTATAATTCTCTCTGGACCTGGCAGCTCTGTTATGAGGCAGGGAGGGGAGAGAGAGAAGCTACTCAAGTCCTGTTTATGACTTAGTCACTGAAGCTCTCAGATACTCATAAAAGTGATAACTACCAAGTTATAAAGAAAACACTTAGGTTAACATAGGAGCTTATCTACTTAAGAAGTTCCAGGGGAAAAAAACCTGACATTCAGTGAAATGCAACACAGGCCAAGTAAGAAGCCAACACTCCGTCCTACATGCATAAACAGAAGGTGTGTACCTGACACATGGAGAAGGCGAATGTTCTTTTAGAGGAGAGAGGCCATACAACCCAAAGTTGACCTGATTTCACCTAAAGTTTTAGTACTACAAACAAATTACTAAATTTAGACATTTGGTTTATATTGATATAAATCTTAACGTTGTCTAATTCCTTGATAATTAAACATAACCCAATCTTTACTTTTAGAGAAAGAATCTGATAAAGACCAAGTGCTTTTATCAGTTCTATACTTATACATTGCCTGGACCAAATGGAAACTACTTCAGAAGTACACTAACGTGGAAATACCAAAAGCCTTAAAATTTTGTGTATCTGTTAACTTAGCAATTCACTTCTAAGAATTTATTTTAAGAAAACAGTCATGGATGTACACAAGAGTCAGTGAAGTGTTGTTTTATAACTGTGAAAAGATGCAAATAGTCAAAACGTCCAGTAGAGGATTAAATAAATTATGGTTCAGCCATACAACAGAATAACAAATGAATAAAAATAAAAGACTATGTAATGACCTGGGAAAGATGTTTACAATATATTATTAAGTGAAAAAAGCAGGTTACAAAACAGTATGCAAGTATGAGCCCATTTTTATAAAAATATACATATTTAGCAAAGTAAAAGGACAAATGATATTTACCAAAATATTAACATTGGTTATTTCAGCACAATAGGATGATAGTTGGTTTTGCTTAACACCCTCCCCTTTTTTGCCTATTTGAGTTTTCTGTAATGAAGATTATTTTTTAAATGGGAAGGTAGTGAGGGAGTTACTAACCTCAGATTAGCCCAGATGTGCCCCCAAAGTCTCCTTCTGGCAAGGTAAAATATTTCTGTTCAGCCTGCATCTATGAAATTGCTTCTATTTTATAAATTTGAGCATCCTTCCAAGATGACATTTAAATTGTCTTTTAGGCAAACTACACAATAGCAATTGTTGATATTAAAAAAAAACCCAAAACACTCAGGTTAATTACCACCAAAAAGAATAGATGCGAAAATACAAATCCTCACTTTAAAAAAGGAACAACCCAAGTACATACTACTAAATTATACAAAGTTACATTATCTGAGTTTAGTTTATCGCAAAGATCAAGACAGCACACTAGAAGTTGGGGCGCTTCTGTTTCACACCATTCGCAGCATCCACTCTGCTCTCCACGGCATTCACTCACCCACGCAGAGAAAGTTCTGTATACACACCACGATGTCTGATATTTCTTGGTTCCCATAGTATAATTAGGAAACTTGACACTTCAATTAAAAAGGTAAAACGAGGACATTTACCATCAGACTATAAAATTCCTCTTCTGGAAGAGGATACTATAGTATTTGAAGATATGCTTTGGAAAAATCATATAAAAATGAAAAGGGCACCATTTCAAGAGCAGTAGGACTACATTAAACTTAAATGAATTCCAACACTCAGAAGTAACTCGGAAACAAATTTGGTCTTAACAAAAGCTCCAATAAACTAAAACTATCTTAACAGGCACAATGAACAGTGTAAACACTGTTACTGGGCACCAAGTTTAATAGGGCAGACAATGTTTGCTTCTGCATTCACACTTAATTTTTCAATTACATTTTTAAAAAATGGTGCTGCTTAAGCTATGTATGTTTTACAAAAAATTAATTTTAATAAATATGGCAAATGCTAAAAATCTAGCTAGGTTACCATGCAAGGTATTATATAACCAAGACAAACTCAAATGTATAACAAAGGCAACTTGCATTCAAAATGAACTCTACCCTTATATTTTATTAAAAGGGCAAACATCATGAATTAACCCAGCTGCTTACTTGAATTACAAAAGTAACATGATTCAATATGAAAATAAGAAACTGTCTACAAATCTCTGACAGTAATAAATTGCAATATACAATGCATACAGGAGTCATACAGAGCAACAAACTCTCGTACAAAACAAAAATATTTTAATACCTTTAAAATCCAAATTTTTCTTTAAAATCATTCATGAAAAAGATTCTCAAGTCAGAATTAACACCTCAATTAGTCAAGCATCAGGAAGCTACATTACAGCTATTTAATATACAAAGAGACATCGTTCCCCCAGTCACTTCCTTCTTAATGTCTCTGTTTCCAGAATCGTACAGACTCTTTCCCTTCTCTCCACTCCCCATGCCACCATTTCTTCAGATCATGAAAACTGAATTTGTTGAACACCAGAAATCTAAGGTCAGAAAATTTAAATTGAGCAGAATTAAAGAAAAAATATATTTTTAAAACAAAATATATATTATTTTAAAAAATAACATAAACATTCAAAGAGTAAAAACAATAGACAATGAAAAATAAGTCTACTTCCCACTCCAAATCTCCATCCTGTCTACCCAAGGGAGCTACTTAATAATTTCTTATGCATCTTCCTAGAAATCTATGCAAATATGAATATGTGTGTACCTATTTTTAATCAGTAAGAGAATACACAATTACATATTTTGAGAAAGCAATTTCTAACAACCTTCTTGATCGGGTCCTTAATAATAATACAGTCAGGTCCTTGAACAACACAGGGGTTAGGTGTGCCAAACTCTGCACAATTGGAAATCCTCACAAAACTTCTGACCCCCTCCAAAAACTTAACCAGCCTACTATTGACCAGAAGCCTTACCCAGAATATAAATAGTCAATTAACACATATTTTGTATATGTATTACATACTGTATTCTTACAACAACACTAGAGAAAAGTAAATGTTATTAAGAAAATCATAAGGAAGCGAAAACCCCACCTACGGTGCTGTAAAAACTCTGCACTTAAGCGGCCCAGTGTAATTCAAACCCATGTTGTTCAAGGGTCAACTGTGATGTGCTGCAATTAACTACCTGTGACAAAAATCAATGGATACAATCAATTTTTTAAATAATTTAAGCTACAAAGAAAGTTGTATTTTACCTGTTGATATGATGTTGTATAAACCATAACATTTTGTTGTTGACCATCTGCAGTTATTAAGCCAGCTGGTAACTGGTTAGCTAGAAGACAAAAAAAAAGTTAAACCAGGAAAGAATCGCATCTCCTCTTTGGGTCTGAACCCGAAAGTCATGCCATGCAAGTCTAATGACAATTCTGTCACTAATCAAAGTCATCTTGAACAAAATCATAAACCCTCAAATTTAGCATTAAAAAAGCTCCCTAAAAAGCACATTTTTCGTACTGCAAGTGTTCAATTTTCTGAATCTTCATTTCTCTAAAATATACTTGAGCTGACTGCCCATGTGTACAAATCTGCAGAGACTGGATGGGGTTTCTAATTCATAAGCAGACCTATACCATGAGGCTTAGCTGGGAGCAACACTTACAGGAACTAAGCAGCATGTATTTTATGTACGAGAAATGCAAAATATATATCTATAAATTGTAAATGAGAAACAGAATCACCACAGACCTTTTATTTAATCAATATGACAATATTCTTTTTTTTAAGATTTTTTATTTTTAAGTAATCTCTACACCCAACATGGGGCCCAAACTCACAACCCTGAAATCAAGAGTCCTACACTCCTCCAATGGAGCCAGCCAGGCACCCCTATTCAGTTTCTTTAAACACCATTCAGTTCAAATTAATTTCAGTCGCAACATTTTACCTTACAAGCTATAATTCTCAACATTCCTATCTCATGTGAATCGTAAACCAAAAACTAGCGGCTATGGAAATCAGAACTATGGCTGAAAGACTGTAACGTCCGAAGAGTTTAAATTTCTACGCTTATCCCTCACTGACTTCAAACATAAGGGCATGAACTAATAAGAACTATTCAAAATACTCAGGGCTGATATTCCAAAAGTACCGTTACATTTAGCATTAGTAACTGCTAACTACATGAATTATATGAACAAATTTCGTTGCATAAATGTATCATAACACTGCTTACTAAATGCCTCCTCTGTGAGTTCTTCACTTAGTCCATCCGTAGCTGTGACTGTTCCACCAATTCCTTTCTCTCCTTTCATAGCCTGGGGAAGGAAAAATCAAAAAAGGAATCACGGGTATTCAAAAGATACTGTTTTCTAGATGAAAATGCTTATTTCCTAAAATTAGGAGCTTCTATTATTACAAACACTGCACAGAGTATTTATTTACACTTCTGGTTAATTACATATGAAGAGGCCCTTCAAAATGCTAACTTCTTCTATAAGCAGTAATCATCACAAGACAGCGTTAGTAATGACCTAGAAAATCTAAAATATTTATGGATAAAAATAAATTATTCTAATTCCAAAATACATCAAAAGGAAAATAGAAGTCTACTTACAGATGAAGTAGTCTGCAAAATACTATAAATATTCAGCTCAAAAATCTACTATAAATGATCCAAATTATCTTTTAACTATATATATATAAATATAGCTCTGAGCCAAATGGGCAGTCCTGTAACAGCAAGTTTAAAGTTTTAAATTCCTAAATCAAAATTACAGGTTGGACCAAAGAGCTCTAAGTTTCCATCCACTCACTCTAAGATTCTATGATGCAAAAGATTTGGAAAAGTACTGTGAAGAATTTATACATTCTCTTCCTACTTTAATCATGTGACAATGCATACAACACTAATTCAATAGGATTCTAACATTAAAGCTATTAAGGAAGTATTTTGAAACCAATGTGAATCCTATATCAAGTTGGAGTGTGGAAATAAATACACTGATCTCAATTTATTTTCACAAAATTCGTACAATGGGCAAAGATAAACCCAAAAGGAAATGCAGAATTTAATAAGAAAGGGATACAGTTAGAATTCCCTTTTTCTTATCTAGAAGGCCCCAAGCTTTGAGGTGCTACCTCTTTTAAATTAATGACAACCACAGCATGTGTTATGATTACAGAGTGCTCACTACATGCCAAGCTAAAGGCTGTACCTAAATTATTTTAGTTCTCAATAGCCCTGGGAGATAGGTATTATTACTAACCTAACTTTATAGACCAGGAAACCAAGGCCTAACGTATTTAAGTAACCTGCCCAAGGTCTCATGTGGTGGAACTGGGACTCAGCCTCAGGTGGTTGGAATCCAGAGTCCAGGCTCTCGCTCATTACACAACTATGATGTCATTAGTAACAAAGGGAAAATGAAAGGACATACTATTTAAATACAGTAATCTAAGTGATTACATACTTCTTCTGATAAATGGTACATTTAAAAAGTTAAAGTGACTAGTATATCTTAGTTTCTTAAAAGCATAATGGAAGGCATTCTACTTACCTCTCTGAATTTCTGAAGGTATAATTTTAGAGGTTCTACATAACTGTCAAAGCCTAAGGTCGACATGGCAAAGAGAATATCTTCTCCATTGATTGTCTTCCGTTTCTCTTGATGGCATCTTTCACTTGCTTCAGATGTTATAAAGCTGATGAACTCACTTACACATTCTTGAACACATTCTTTGGCATCTTTTGCAATCTGAAGAGAAAAATCACAGGTAAATTTGCAGGGACTATCACCATCCCGTTCCTAACAACCTGCAAAAATAAAAAGCTATTCAGAAGAATACGAATTTCAGTTCGTGGCTGTTAATATCTCATCTCTGAAATAATATGCTAATTACATTGACACAATGTGTGCTATCAAAATTCCAACTCTTGGAGTAAGAATAAAAACTCCAATACCAATAAGAGAAGCTTTGACAACTCTTCTCCGAAAACAGGTATAATTTAGGTAAAAAAGCAATCACTGGATGTCCCTACCATCCCATAAAGATGAAATCTTACTAAGCAAATGCCCCAAGAAAATCAGACCCATGGTATATGTAGTCTACTGTGGTATCAGGTATCACTCCTCTGCCTTAGCATTTCCACAAATAAGGACACCAGAAAATTTTTAAAAGACAAAACACTGAATTCATGTAAGGTTTACAGGGGAATGAAATAATGACATCTGGTGACATTTTTATTACTGAAGATACCAAGTGTCAGGTACAGGTTTTGAGATTATTAGAAAAGCAGCACACACCTGCCACTTCATTTTAAAAGCAATTCTTCTTTTAAGGGTGTGGGGTTTCAAAGTCAAACTCTAATGAATTAAAGCATGCAATTCCAAAGCCACTTCTAAGAGAACAACAAAAATGCTTGCTGAAGCATACTGTCTGCTGCCTCCATGCCTATTTACATCCTGGAGAAAAGTAAACAAGAGCTGCAGCAAGATAATAGTGTGCTAGCTGTACGTGTGACTTCACATTTTCTAGTAGCTGGGTTTTTAAGAAGGTGAAATTGGGGCGCCTGGGTGCCTCAGTGGGTTAAAGCCTCTGCCTTCGGCTCAGGTCATGATCCCGGGGTCCTGGGATCGAGCCCCACATTGGGCTCTCTGCTCAGCAGGGAGCCTGCTTCCTCCTCTCTCTCTGCTGCCTCTCTGCCTACTTGTGATCGCTGTCAAATAAATAAACAAATAATATTTTAAAAAATAAAAAGTAAAATTAATTTTAATAATATATTTTATTCAGCCCAACAAATCCAAAATACTATCATTTAATAGAGCATAAAATGGATTCATTTTATTTTTTTTTAAGATTTTATTTATTTGAGAGCACGAGCAGGGAGGAGGAGTAGAGGGAGAGGGAGAAGCAGGGAGCCCAATGTGGGACTCGATCCCAGGACCCTGAGATCATGACCTGAGCCAAAGGCAGCCAATTAACCAACTGAGCCACCCAGGCACCCAGAGAATCCATTTTAAAACTGAGGTATTTTAATTATTTTTTTCATACTAAGCCTGCACAATCTGAAGTTCTGTTTTACATATACAGCACATCTTAATTCAGACTCGCCACATTTCAAGTGTTCAAGAACCATGTGGGGCCCGTGGCCCGAGGTGCAGGGCAGCACAGGGCTAGCAACAGAAACCGTAATCAGCAGTGTGCTTTATCTCCCCTCAAAGCATAAGGAGGACCTCTCATACTAGAACTTCTAGGCTTTGCCTAATATTATATTTCTTTGTGAGCTTTATTACTTTCGTAAGCACTTTATAAGCTACAATGAGAAAAAAGTTTATTATGAAATACAATATATAAAAAAAGTGGCTTCTAATTCAGACCAAGTGATGAATAGAGAGACGAGTTTTTTTAAAGCTGTTAAAAATAACTGTCTATACCACTGTCTGTCTCAAGACAGAACTACTTTAAAAAAAAACATGCCAGTTAAATTTAAATATACATTAATATTTATGATTATATAAAAATAGTTGCTTCCAAATGTAAGGATTTTCTCCGTATCAGTCCAAAATGACCCAATTTTGCTGCAACATTATAGAAGTCGCAACTCCATATGCCCAAACCTGATCGTTCTAATAATGCACCTGTTTTTCAAGAGATGGTTCATTCTATTTTATCTGCTTCACGGGGGGGCAGGGGAAGCGGGGGGCGGGGGGGCGGCGGGGGTGGGGGTGGGGACTGCACATGGAGTCCCGCTCAGTAACATGTAGCGCTGAAAGAGCTGCTGGACCTGGGGAAGGCCAAATGGCTGAAATCCATAGCTGACCATGCTCAGAACTACACACTCACGTAGGTCTCCGCTCCCCTGTCCCCTGGAAAAATAAACCCCGGTAAAATGTCTCCTCCGCATTACCTTTCCCGTTTGAGGTATGGCATTTTTCATTATCCTTGCTACATTTGCAATTGGAAGATAGATATCTTGTTCTCTGAAACTTTCTTTTGAACCATTTGTGTCTTCATGATCATTCATGCTGTCCTCAGTATCTAAAGAAATAAAAATGACTTAGGTTTAAAGTTTCTCATCATCTTTACTTCAAGATAGAGAAGACTACCTAAAATGATCTAAGATAAGAACCATCCTGGTTCATTTCCTTATCATTTTTAGGGAGGAGGATAGCAGTTCTTTTCATAATTCTGCCTCAAATCCTTTGATCCTCAACTCTGCCTACTAAAATGTTACCTACCCATTCGCAAAAAGCTCAAAAACATCTCCACAGCACCTTCAGAAGTGATCTCTCCTTTCACAAAATATCACAAAGTGCTTCTCTATGTCTTTTCTGACACATCTTGTAATTCTTTTTATTTCTCACCCTCCCTCTTCGATAACGGCTACCTTAGGCCAGGGATCAGCTCTGTGTACTTCCTAGAACTCAGTATAGCATCTTCCACAGAAGAATTACTCACATGTATTTGTTACATAACTTAGCTAGAAAATTTATAGACTATGACCTATTGTTCCTTGCATATGGCCAGATTACGAGGTTATATTATACAAAGCCAAGTTTACACAGAATGTAAAAAGTGGACTTGAATATTACTGAGCCAATTGGATTAATACTGTGTACTAACTTTTTGAACAAAGCTATAGCACTGATCCGACGTTCTTGCAAAAAGTGAATCCTTGAATTATATAGACTCAGATGTAACTGTAGCTTTCACAGTACCAGTAATAGCCCTTTTTAACTAAACTCAGTATTCTCTAAGTAATATGTACTCTTTCTAGGCACTTAAGCTGATTCAAGTTACAATTTTTTTTTCAAGTTACATTTTTACGTGTATCTGTTTCAGGATGAAGTAACTAATCACCCACCCCCAACTGCCTACCAAAACGTATATCTTAGGGGGGACCTGGGTGGCTCAGTCAGTTAAACATCCAACTCTCTATCAGTTCAGGTCTTGATCTCAGGGTCTGCATAGGGTCCTGTGCTGGGCATGGGGCCTGCTTGCGAGTCTCTCCCTCCTTCTGCCCCTTCCCCCACTCACACATGAGCTCTCTCCCAAAAAAGCATACTTTTTCTTTTAAAGTAGGCTCCACACCCAGCATGGAGCCCAGTGAAGGGCTTGAACTCACAGCTCTGAGATCAAGATCTGAGCTGCTATCAAGAGTCGGATGCCACCCAGGTTCCCAAAAAAAATACTTTCCTAGAACTCTCTTCTAGAATTCTTTTCCAGAACACATCACTCTTTTGCTGACTATTTCTAATAAAAACAGCCTTGTTTTAGACTATCACTGAACTTTGACACAAGATTGCTAATTTTCCTGTAAAGACAAAAGTAACCTGGAACATCACATTATTATAATTTCCACTAAGTTGTTTCTCTGGTGAATGTCTTTAATTGCGGCTTTCTCACCATCGTGAGGCTGTATCACGTAGTGGCTTCCTCCGATGTAGTCCGCAGAGATGCCTAGTTGAGAAGCATCTGTTGTAGCACTGTCGCCATCCATCTATGAGGAAAGACGTTTTGCAATACTCTTCAATAAAACATCTAAAAAAAACCTAATAAATTCGATACTCATAAACTGTCATAGGATGGGTCAATTAGTTTTCAAGGCATTAAGCTTACTAAAAGATAACATTTGTATCTCTTGATTTGGAATCCTTTCGATAATTTTCCAATGTTTCAAGATGCCCCTGTCTACTCTCTGTAGGTGATAAGCAGTAAGACCAACAGGGAAGCAAAACAAGGAAATGAATCTAAAACACACACCTCTTTCTTTGCAACTGCATAATCCTCACATAGAGTGCAGACAACCCTGACTTACAAACTAGCTTGTCCCTGGAGTGACAACCAAAGCCAAAGTCAGCTTAGTAGTCACCTAAAGTCACTGATTTCCATTACTTTCCACTCTCCTGCCACAGCCGGACAGCCCTACGCGAATCCTTTTGCTCTTGTGCATACCTTCTCTGCTGTCTCACAGAAGTTCCACAAGGGGCAATGTCTTGGTTCAAACTGCTGTTTGGCATGAGAAGCATACAGATTCCTTGAACAAATCTGGGACCACACAACCTGAAAGCACACCCTACTTTGAACCAGCCTAACAGCTCTAATTCTACTCCACAATTCCCCACTCCTGCCCCCACCCTCAAACTTCAGATTCTTTAAAAAGAAAAAAAAGGGGACAGGGTGGTCAGGGAGACTGGGGATCTGCATAAGAAGACAGTAAAATTATAACCGTAGACAAAAATGAGAATTAAAATGACTGTTTTTAAAAGAAGCCTGCTTAATTAAGTTCGCTCAGAGCTAAAAGAATTCTAAGAGGGAAAACCTAGAGAAAACTGCACATAAGCCCTAAACTGTCTTCATTCCATTTCACCAACATGGCAAACCCTGGAAATCTTTCCACTTTGCAAATAATACTATTCAAAACAATAAGGGACTAGCTATCTGTGGGTGGAAAAATTGTTAAATGCATTACCTAAATAAAAAGCGTAGCAAAAATTAAGTATAATCTATACATGCTTTCAGTCCAAATCAAGAGACACTTGATCCTACATGTTTATCAGGGCCAGAACATTGATAACAAGTTTAATGTTATTAACTCTACAATTTAAGTCCTTGTGTGCCACATCATGTTTTCCGGCTCTGTTGGATTTTCATCTACTCGTAAAACAGCACGCCGGTTTCCAAGTCTTCAATAACATGACAATTCTTTGATACGTCTGTTGACTGGTGTTTAATTTAATTGTAGATAAAGATACATTTCCATAATCTATATAGTTTTCTAAGGGGCTGGAGAATAGAATTCACCTACTTTAAATAATTTGCACAAGTACAAGGTACCTATTTATTGATACTTCATAGTGGTTTCTAAAAGGTAGTAAACAACGGTCAGTGAGCTCTGATTCTGACTCTCCTGATCCCTGAAAACATCATCCCTACCCATTAAATGTGTTTCTATATAAAATGAAAATAGTATCACCTTCCCCATCTTAAACAGCTAATGTGAAACAGTACCCAAAAATAAATGCTATTTTAATCTTAAAATGCTAACAAGATACTAGGAGAATGGTCTTTTTTTTTTTTTTACGATTTTATTTATTTGACAGAGAGAGATCACAAGTAGACAGAGAGAAAGGGGGAAGCAGGCTCCCTGCTGAGCAGAGAGCCAGATGTGGGACTCTATCCCAGGACCCTGAGATCATGACCTGAGCCTAAGGCAGAAGCTTAACCCACTGAGCCACCCAGGTGCCCAGAGAATGGTCTTTAATAGATATGATGATGGATTTATTAGCCATGAAAGAGAGCTTAATTAAGATAACTGTGAATTGACTAGTTTTTATAATGCCCTGAGGGAGATTAGGGAGATGACAGTTTAGGAGAAAGGACCAAAGTGGTTGTTTCAGAACCTACAACTGGAAACAAATCTTTGTTGGGGTAGGGCAGGGGGCATCTGTCTGGGGGATCAATTAATTTATAAATTTAACATGAAAAAAGTATTAAAGGCAAAAAGTTTAAATCAAATTTTCTTGTCATACACTGGAATTAGTAGCAAGATTATCATTTGGATTCACAGGATTAGCCTCTAAACCTCAGTCTTCTAAAAAATACTCCTGAAAGTATTTCAGAGTTGTCAGAATGAAAGAAAGGGAACCTGCTAAAGAGCTGTGTACTCAGGAGATGGTGATCCAACCCGCCCTCCCGCCCTTCTTCTTTTTTTTTTTTTTTTAAGGTCATGTTTTTCTTTTTTTTTTTTTTTTTGAAGATTTTATTTATTTACTTGACAGACAGAGATCACAAGTAGGCAGAGAGGCAGGCAGAGAGAGAGGGGGAAGCAGGCTCCCCGCTGAGCAGAGAGAGCCCGATGCGGGGCCTGATCCCAGGACCCTGGGATCATGACCTGAGCCGAAGGCAGAGGCTTTAACCCACTGAGCCACCCAGGCGCCCCCCAACCCGCCCTTCTTGAGAATAAGCAGCACGTAGCAGACTTAGCTGTGTGTGTCTCTGGGTCTGCAAGCTGTAGCTTTCTGTCATTTCATCACACCTGTCTTCCTATCTTTCTACCTTAAAATCCTGCCCCATACTTTAATCCCAGTGTTCTCCCACTCTCCTGAAATCTTTCTGATTTACCCTATTCTGCAAGCCCAAAATGAGTGTCCCCTTCTTCTGAATCACCAAGATACCTGGTAACAAATCAAGCCTCATCTTTGATGCTTACAATCTGCTAGCTGTTCACATATATATAATATGAGTGGGGAAATGAGGCAGAGGTACTTGCTAGATACATCCCAGAGGCTTTTTCAAGGTCTAAACTTCCTATAAAAATATTCAAAATAGGCTGGAGATTTTAAGTAAACCAGTCAACACATACTTACCAAGTAAGCCCCTGGTATTTATCAGGTCTGTGCTCTGTGCTGGTGATGGAGCCTCGTCAACAACATAGACAAGATCTCTGTCCTCATCTTGCAGGGAAGACAAGTATTACGTAAACTAGTGGTAGGGGAAAGGGATGAGGAGTGTAGTCTATTAATACTTCCAAGGCACAGGCTCTGGAATCCTATCACCTGGTTTGAATTCCTTCCTACTTACTTGCCATGAGACCTTGAGCAAGTGAAATGAAGACAGGACTCACCACGGAAAAACTCAGCATAGTATAACAGGAGTACTCGATAAATGTTATATATAGCTATTAAATAATTACAATAACTAATTACTAGTGCCAAGTGCTAAGGAAAACAAAGGTGTTTTGTTATATGCTTTGAGAGCTTATTGCAAAAGGGGCCATACTAGTCTGGGGAGTCAAGGAAGCGGTCTCAGGAAATGACATTTAAATAGATGAAAAGATAGAAATCAGTCAGGCAAGGAAGAATGGGAAAAGAATGTTCCAGGCAAAGGAAACAGAAATCTGCTACTGGTGGACTAGAATGAACTAACAAGAGGCTAGATGAAGTGGTGCCTTGTGGACAAGCGCAAATCAAAGGGGAGTCTGATTTGCACAGTTCTGCTAAGACTCTGGCTTCAGTCCAGTGAAGAAATGGAGGAGCAAGAATGAGGGCAGAAGACCACGAAGGACCATGAAGTTGCAGTCGGAGCATGAACTCAGGCAAGATGAACATTCATTCCCCAGATTGGTCCAGGACAACAGCAGTGGAGATCAAGGGGAGCAGAGGAAAGAGCCTTGCAGGAGGTCAAATCAACAGACCTGGTGACTGAGTGAAAATGAACCAGAGGAAGGACCGAGGGGATGCTGCTGGGTTCTTGCAGCCGCGGAGATCGAGAACGGGAAAGGCAGGGAATGGGAGCGCTGGGCGATGAGAGCTGAGCTGGAGCCGGTGACCACAAATGTGCAGTGGCACAGTCATGACACATCCGCAGCTGGGGGAAGAGGAGGGAAGCTAGAGTGCTGGGCCTTATCCAGACAGCAAAGAGGGAAGGGCATGCAGGAGAGCAACGAGACAATGGGTAAAACAGCCAATCGTTAGAGCCAAGAAAACTAGTAACTACAGACAAATAGTAGTTCAATCCCATTAAATTAATGCGATTGACTATTCTGTTTACTTAGTTGAACTGATATTGTTTTCTAAAATATTATGTGAAATCAATGGTTGGCTGGCTAATACAATAATTTGGTGATGTAGCAGTATTTAAATTACACTAATAATTTGTTGCAAATGCAGGAAATAGTTCCCTCTTCAATACATTTAACATTTATTGAGCACTTTCTAAATATCTCATGCAGTGTTCATGACCCTGTGAAGCAGATGAGAAAATTGAGGTTATAGAAGGCTAATGACTTGCCAAAGGTGACAGAGTAAATGGGATTTAAATCCAGAGTCTCCAATGCCAAGTACTTTACAGTATTTGTTCCTAATAGTTTTTCCTGTAGTCCATAAGCCTAAATCTATACTTTGGCCTCTCTAAATTCCAGGTCTAATGACTATATATTAAAAACATTTAAAGTTGCTTCTCAAGCCAGGACATTATCTGTGGGATGTAAGCAATACACCTGGTTTGGGGTTCAGGATCAAGAGCAATCATGGGCCCTTAGGGCAGACCACCCAGGTCTGAGGCTGGGCTCCCTACTTACGAGCTGTATGTCTTTACTTACTGTCCTCTTAGTACTTCAGCTTCCCCATTTTTAAGATGGAGTTGCCATGAGAAGTGAAGTTATTAGATAAAAAGTACTTAGCAAAGTGTATGACACATAGTAAGAACTCAACAAACATAACCTAATATTATTTTTGTCTCTTCAAATACAGTTCTCACCCTTCTTTCCAGGCACAGTTTTTCTCTCTCACGTAACCCCTTTCACCTGTTCTCTGGACCAATTCCTTTTTATCTCTTTGAGGATAAGAAGTGACAGGAAGATTCCTTCCCTCTAATGGATCTTCAGACCAGCTGCTTCGCTCTTTCTTCAACACGCTCACACTCCCTCACTGAACACACAGAAGTACACCCAGCCCTGGAAAACCGAGATTCCAAGCCACAGCCTTGGCTAGCGATCACGGTCACCCCAACGGTCCTCACGCATCTCCGCATTCCTATTGCAGCTCCCTGGCATGTGCTTCTCCACCCCACCAGGATACTGAACCCGCTCTCGGAAGTTGCCAGTAATCTTGCCTTCATTCCTACTTGGCTGTTGTTAGTAGTGCTGGCCACTGAGAACCCCACACTTACTCGTGAAATTCTCTTCTCCCTTGATTTTGAACAATATCCTTTTCCCGGATTATTGTTTCCTCCACACAGCCCAGTTGTTAGTTTCAGCCAAGGTTATCCTCTCCTGTTTCTTCCCTTACTCTCTTAATGAACTCATTAAATACCACTTCTATGCTTAGAAGTCCTAAATCTACAACCACATCCTGCCTGCCACTCCAGTGAGCCATGCCCGTAGAATATATCTGATATCCCATCGCTGCCAACTTAAGATTTTGGAAAATGAAACTCACCCTCCCCGTGTCCTGCAAGGAGGCAGTGGCTGAGAGCTCCTCATCTGTTTTCTAGCTACTGTGATCCCACCCTCCCAGGCTAATTATACCAATGTCATCTTAGATTCTTCTGTCTCCTCCAAGTTCCACTTCTTGTAATAAGTTTCCTGGATATGCCCTTCCTTTCTCTCCTGCCACTGCATTACTATCGAACCTACCAGGGTACATATTGTTTTAAGACGGATCTCACTCAAATACCGTTTCTATAGCGCCTGACCCTGGAACGTTCTAAAAGTCTTCAGCATCAAATCCAAACCTAGTTTTTCCATGGCTTTTCATGAGTGGATCCCCCACTTAACTAAACTTGTTTCCAACTCTATCTTCAGGGCTGATAAAAATCTTAGTGCTAGAATGTGCCTTATTTAAGGATCACCAGGTACAGCTCTTTTATTTTAGGGCTGAGGCATGAGTCATGGCTCAAGGAAGTTGTAACATGCCTGACATCACAAATATAGTAGCAGATTCAGAACTAAGTATCCAGACAGGAAAAGTGGTATCTCGCACTAAATTATCCTATGAAAACTCCACTTGGATGATGCAAATCTACTCCCCATGCCCTAAACATCAGTTACTCATCCCTGCCTTTAGGCTTTTGCTTTCGGTGATACCCTCCACTATCCAAATCCCACTCATCCTTCAAGGCTAAGTCCAAGACAGTCGCAACTACCCAGGCCTACCACGCCACTGGTCTTTTCATCTCTGCTATCCTTAGAACTAACATGTCCCATTCCCTGCACAATTGTCCTCTAAGCATTCAGTTCCACTGAAGCCCTTCTAGCAAAACAGACAAGCCTCTTAAGAGCTGGGACAAGCTTTTTATCTCGTAGTCTCCACAGCACTTATGGGCCCACAGGGAACAATACATGCAAGTCCCTAAAAAGAAAGAAGCAACAGGAATGAGTGAGTGGACGTACAGTCTGTCTAGACTTAAAGGACATTCATTCTGCTTGGGATCTCCAGTGAGACATTAGGTATAATTTTATTTCCAGCGAATTATTGTTCAAATCTAGTTAACAACCAAAATGGTACGACATACTTACCGTCATGAAATACTGTCAGAACCGTGTTGTCAGCGGTGTTCAGGAACACCTTCCTAAAAGGAGGGCTAATCTTCGCCCAACTTCAGCCTAGAAGATAAACATCTATTAGTAGTAACAACGTACTGCCTACAGGCTTTCTCCCTAGTAAAAATTTAAAAAGCGTGTATAATTTCACCTACTATTCTTATTCAACAGAGTGCAAAAAAGCAGGCGCCCAATAAAGGTTTCTTAAATTGGCAGATATATTTTGGAGACCTGGCAAAAAAGTTAATTCTATGGTAGGGAGGAACTGCTTTCCTAACATAACCCTGAATTTAGTCATGTTCATCATAAATATTTGTCACAACACCCCAAATTACATGCACGAGACAAAAATTTTTACACATCTAAATTCTTCAAAATATTAACACACAAGACACAAACACCCCAACTTAATCTTTCACTGATTTTCTTAATATTTTAGAGTGAGATTTAGGGAGTCCAAAAGCTCAAAAGGGGAAAAGAATATCTCAGAATACAATGCTTTTAAATTAAACACCTCGGATGATACTGAAAAGAGGATACATGATGCCCAGAGAACATACCCGGAGCACAATCAATTAGGACCTTTATTTATCATTTTAAAGCACCACCATTTTGGACTAAAATTGCATCTGAATGGCACTTCATTTTCACTGTAAGGCATAAATAGCTGAATAAATTGGTATCAATTACAATGTTACAATCTCCATTTCTCATTTGCTCTTTTCCCCTTTTTCAAGTGAAGCAATTAAATTGGGGGCAGGGGCAAAACAAAAACATATCCTTTCAGTGTTAATTTTAAAAGGAAGAGAAAATAATGCTATGCATTCAAGCATGAAATCTAGTAAACAGAAGAAAAAAAAAAATGTAGCCACGAATTGAATTGTTTAAATGTCAGTCCAGGCAGCAAAGACTGGCTGACATTGTCTACTCTGCTATAATCTTAAAAGCAATGTCTGATTTCTTTTTTAAATATTGTCCTCTTTCTAACCCCAAAACTGCCCAGAAGATTCCTTCCTTGGGGCTAGAAGCGTTTTTTTAAGAGTGTCTTTGAAAAAGAAAATCCTCAGTACACTTAAAATAATGGAGCTATATACATTTATGTATTTTGCTTGGGGGAGGGGGGCACACCTCACCACACTCTCTCACCCAAATAGTTTACTCGGTATATATTTAGAGTCAATATATTAAAGATAAACACTGTCACCTCATATGGTATATATTTTCCTAAAGGCAGGTTATGATATATGTGAAAGCTCAAGGGAATGCATACATCTGTTTAATGTTTGAAGAAATGCAAATTTGTATCCAAGAAAAGCAGCAGACCCTTCCTCCACCCTCCATTCTTTGGCATCAACAACCAGAGTTTTGCATCAATAGAATCCTTAAATTAAGCTACAGGAGCAGTGCGGGGAAGGAATAATCGCCTTTTAAGGAATTCTGGTTAAACTTTCAATACTTTACAAATAAAACCCTTATTTATTAATGCCACTTATATCGATCAGTTTATCTTACCACTTTATTTTGCCGATCAGTTTCCATACTAAGAAAGCCCAAACCACCCCAGGGATTCGTGGTGGCACGAACCAGGGCACCGTGGAGTCCATGCGGGTTAGTGGGATGCTATTTTTTTTTTAAAGGTCGTATGCTACCTAACCTTGTTTAAATTATCTTGTTACAGTACTTTGGCCAAGATTACGACTTGTGGGTGCTCTGTAATTCTTTGTTCTCGAAGACTACTGCTCCTCAGGCCCGGCAGATCCTCCCCGCCTCCCACCGAAGATTAAAACCTTAGTCCAATCCGAAAGGCTTCCTTCCCACCTTCGGGGCAAGTCCAGGGACCGCAAGCCGCCAGATGGCTGCATTCTTTACGTGCGTGTAAGCCAGACTGCGGGGAAACCAAATCCACTCCTTCCTCCCGGGGACCTGGCTTCCTCCCCACGAAGGTGCGCGGGCTGGCCCCGGCCCCATCGCCCGGCCCGGCGGACTGTCAGTCCCGCCGGTGCGGGGCGACCGCCCCTGGCGCGCATCCCCCGACTCGCCCGCCCAGGCCCTGGGCCCGCGCCCAACGCCTGCGGGCCGCCCGCCCGCCCGCTCGCGGCGCCGGGGCAGACAAAGCGGCCCGGCCCTGCCATGCCCCCGCGGGCCGGCAGGCGGGAGAGCGGGCGGGAGGGGGGCGCCCCCGGAGACTCCGTGCGGCAGCCCGGCCAAGGGCGCAGGGTCGGAACCGGGGTTCGGGCCAGTGCCCCCCGCTCGGCTGCCCGCACAAAATGGAGCCGGCCGGGGCGCCGCCGAGAGGGGGCCCGAGGGGGCCCCGGCGCCCCCTCCTCGGCCTCGGGCCCGGAGCTCGGCGGCGGCGAGCAGGAGGCGGCCTGGCCCGAGTCCCGCCGCTCCTCGGCCCGGAGCACAAAGAGCCGCGCCGCGGCCCCGCGCCCGCTCCCCGGCCGGGCCCGCAGCGGGAGCGGCCTCGCAGGCGCCGGCCCGGCCCCAGCCCAGCCCCGGCCCCGGCCCCGGGCGGGAGGGCGGGCGGGAGGGAGGCGAGTGGCCCCGGCCGCGGCGGCGTTGGCGGCGGGGACGGCGCCGGGAGGAGACGGACATTTCATTCGAGCTAAAGTGGAGTCGGTTTAGGAGCGATCATTGGCCGAAGCGAGACACAAACCTCCAATGCAGCCCTGGTTGGCTCCCGTCTCCAATCGGCTGTTTGGTTGGACAGAAAATGGCTGCGAAGGAACCAGTCCCAGCGCGGAGCTCCGCTTCCAGGACTCGGCCTCCCCTCCCTCCGCCGCGGGCCGCTTCCCTCGGCGCGACACCCTCCCTCCGCGCCTCCCGCGTGCCCGCCCGCCGCGGCCCCGCCCCGGCCCCGCCCCCGGCCGCGGCCCCGCCCCGCCCCGCCCCACCTCCGCCCGGTGTGCGGAGTGGCGGCGGCAGCGAGAACCTGCAGAGTCGGCTGCGGGCTGCGGACCGCGGCGAGCGGCGGGTGGCTCCCGCGGAGGCTGCGCTGGGCGGCGGGCGGCCTCTGTGCTCAGCGGGGGCTTCCCAGGGCCGGGACTCGGGCACGCTCTTGAGGTCTATGCGGGTTTTCTTCCCACGGTGTTTTCCCGGGCCTCTGCGATGCGTGATTTCTCAGGCTTCCCTCCTTTTGCTGCCCCCCTCCCTCCCCCACGTGAAAGCGTCTCACCCGCCCAACGATTTTTTAGAAGGGGAAACCAAGGGCAGAAACCGCCCGCCAGGGCGACACTCGAGCTCCCGGGTGGATTTGAATGACGGCTCCCTCCTGGAATGCCTTCAGCACCTCGTGTTTTCCTTGTGTGCCTGTAAACGTTGCCAAACGCACCACGGCTCCCTCTCGGTCACGGAGCTCGGATGTTCGTTGCTCAGATTTCTTCTAAAGATACAGCCCTCTCCTTCAGGTTTAACAGGTTGGTCGGACGAGCCAGCCTTCACCCTGAATTTAAAATGTTGCGTTTCCTGTCCCCCTCCAGCGCCCCCGCCCCGCACCCCCAACAGTCGCTACCTGACATGTGGCTTTTCCCAACCAGATGATTATTTGGGCCGCAAGACTCCGTGCCCTGTTCTGGCCTCTGCAGCCAGGCACCCCCGCTGGCTTTTCCGGACTGCAGTGTGGGTCAGTCTTCCCCGGGCTGCGACCATCACAGATGGGCTGTGAGCCAGACACCGCCGCGCGCTGCAAAGGGCGGCAGGATTTCTGCAACGGGAGCCGGCAGTCGCGTTCCCTTTACTTCCACTAAACAAGTGGCCCGGTGCCACATTAAACTTTCCAGCTTTAATCATTTAAAAATATATAGCCATGTTTTATTTATAGAGCTCCTACTGTTTCTCCGCATATTTTAACATTTCAAGAGCAAATAAGGAAGCAATGACAAGTGAAAGCCTCCGAGTTATTCCAAGAGGAGTTAAGTAGCAATGCCACTGTGCAATCAGACACCCTGAGTTGAATTCCAGCTCCCCTCGTACTGTTTTACGACCCTGGCCGCATTTCTTTGCCCTTCCCTTGTAGTTTCCTCACCTCTGTAATGAGACTGATAATTGCTCGCTACTTCTTAGGATTGTTTGGAATTAAAGAAAATGCACAAAGAAAACCCTAAAAAGAAAAAAAAAAACAGTTGGCCTCCTATCTTAAGATCTTTATATGATATGAATTTCAATCTCCATCAAACTTTTAAAAAACTGTCATTTGCTAAAAAGGGGTAAAACTGGCCTACCTTGGACCTCTCCCTTGAGGATGACCCATGCAAGTGGAGTTTTCAGAGTGAAATGATGTGCTCAAAGACAGGAAATATAAAAAAAGGAAGTAGTAGGATTGAGAGATGTATGACTAATCCACACACTGGATGATGAACCAAACGCTGCACGATGACTGCTTTTCCTGAGTTCATATGCTCTTATTTCAGTACTGTTGATCTAACAGACATGCTCAGTTCTGATGCAACAACAAGGTTCCTCAGCTCCCACTGTTTATCAAGGGCTGTGTCAGGAGCCCCAGGGCGGCAAGGGTGGATAAAGCACTCTCCTTACTCTGGGGACCTAACTCTAGAAGATAGGGACCTACCTAGACCAAGCCCCTCTGCTGCTGAATCCCAGGTCATGCTGGCTTGACAATCTGTGTTCTCTGTGCCCTTTACACCTGCATTCAGGAAGCCCCCCAGTAAGTGTTACCCCCATTTTTCATGATCACATGATGAAAGACATGTATCACAGTTCAGTTGTGGAAAAGACATTATCTAGACTAATCCAGACTTTTCTTTTTTTCTCTTGACTGTTCAGATATTTTATTGCTTCTAGGCTTTTCATTAAAGGTTAGAGGATCAGTGATTGTCTCTTTTACTGGTCCACACATCATAGCTGCCCCTTAACTTATACCATTATTTATATGAGCCATAATTCAGCAAACAACAAAGCAGGATCCTTGGCACAAGGAAGACTTCCGGGTTGGATTTTACTTTATGACTTTAATGAGGCCTCATAGAATTTCCGTAATGGTAGCGTCTAGTATAGAATGAATGATCTCTGTTTCCAACTTCCTGATTCTATTCTTGCCCCTTTCTTCTCCGTCCGTTCTCTGAAGTCGAGGCCTGGAAGGATCTGGCTTCTGCTTTTCTCTCCCTCCCCCACTTACGCCTCCATCCTTACCCCCTTCCACCTTCAACACACACTGGTCTTGCCTCTGCCACACACACACATGGCTCTTGTCTTAAGGTCTTCATGGCTCCTTTTCATCTTTGAGGTCTTATTCTTCAAAGAGGCTCTCCCTCACCCCTCCTAAAGTAGCCCCACCTGGTTACTCTGTAATGTCATCTAGTCATGTCACCTCATGTGAAGGTAAACACTGTTCTCTTCACGCCAATCTACTCAGCCGAACTGGATTGTCTTGTTTATTTATGGTCTGTAAATATATCCAAAATGCGGGCCCTTCCCATTTTCCCCCATGACTACCACCATGGTTCAAGCCATATCTCCTCTTGCCAGGATGACGGCAGTGACCTTCTAACTTGTCTCCCTACTACCCCCCTTGCCTACACAGCAGCCAGAGTGATTCTCTAAAAATGTAAATGAGATCCTGTCACCCTTCTGCTCAGAAATCCTCCAGTACCTCCCAGGTTCTCTCAGAGTAAACGACAAAGCTTTTAGGGTGGGCTTGCAAAGCGGAGGGTGACAAGTGTGTTCATTCTAAGTTGAACAAAGGAAAAGATTAATTGTTCTTTGGTCGTAGTACAACTAACAACCAGAATCTTTTCAACAATCAGTGACAACCTCTCACTCGGTGACAGCTCCCCGCTTCAGAAAGTCAGCCAATCAGTGACAGCCACACTCCAGTAATCCTGCTTCCTTAGCTAAAGGTCGACTCATTCCCCAAACAGTCCAGCTTCAAAAAGTGGGAATCTCTGAACCCACACTTTCCAAAACACCACGTAAGTCCACAGATTTCATTGTTCACAGGCTCTGCCTTACAATGCGGTTGTTCTTTGCTTAGCAAGAAATATATTCTGCACTTTTTATTTGTTTCTTTCAGAAATGAATGGTGGCCTTTTCACTAGGCAAGGCCCTATGGGATCTATGATCTATCCCCTCTCCACTCTCCCTCTAACTTTTACTTTTTCCTTTGCTCACTCCCCTTCTCCTCCTTATTTCTAATAGGAATGCTCCTGCCTCACGACCTTTGCATTTGCTGTCCCATCTGCCTTGTACCTTCTTCTCTCAGACATCCACATAGCTCATTCTCTCAGCTCTTTCCATTTCTCAATGAGGCTGACCCTGATCTAAAAGTCGCAATTCTAGGGGCACCTGGGTGGCTCAGTGGGTTAGGCCTCTGCCTTCGGCTCATGTCATGATCTCAGGGTCCTGGAATTGAGCCCCGCATCGGGCTCTCTGTTTGGCGGGGAACCTGCTTCCCCCTCTCTCTCTGCCTGCCTCTCTGCCTACTTGTGATCTCTGTCTGTCAAATAAATAAATAAAATCTTTAAAAAAAAAAAAGTCGCAATTCTAGCTCCCTATCCTCACTCTCCCCTAACTGCTTTATTTTCTTTTCCAATGATACTTATCACCTTTTACAAACTATAGAGTTTCCTCATTTATTTTGCTAATGGCTTATTTTCTATCGCTTCCCATTAGAATGTAAGTTCTATGAGGACAAGGATTTTTGCTCATTTTGTTCACCAATGCATCCTGAGCACATAGTAGGTGCTCAATAAATATTTGTTGACTGAATAGATTTTTAATATTTCACCTTATTTTTTTTAATATTTTATTTATTTATTTGACAGAGAGAGAGATCACAAGTAGGCAGAGAGGCAGGCAGAGAGAGGAGGGGAAGCAGGCTTCCTGCCGAGGATAGAGCCCGATGCGGGGCTCGATCCCAGGACCCTGGGATCATGACCTGAGCCGAAGGCAGAGGCTTAACCCACTGAGCCACCCAGGCGCCCCAATATTTCACCTTATTAAGATATGAACTCTTTGAGTGCAAAGACCTTGTTCACCACTGTATACTTGGTGCTAGAACAGTGCCTGGCGTGTACTGGGAGCTCTATAGGTCCGTATAGAATTGAATGCATGAGCAGGCATTGGATAAAGCTGTATTTTAATTGATAATGTAAATGACCCTGAAATTACTAAAGCCTGATATGTCATCTCTCTCTGGAGAAACAGTTCATAAAACATATTTAAAATTCTTCAAGTTATTATGAAGTGTTAATCAAAATATTCAAAACATACTCATCACTATTTCCCCCTGGATTAGTGAGTTAATTAAATGGTTTTGAAAATATCTCTGATCAACCTGAGAAACCAACAAGATCCCTTGTTTCTAGGGCTGCTCAGGCCATGGACTAGAGGAAAACTTGTCTTTAATAGGGAAAGAAACCCAGAAAACGTCCTTTTGCTTCAACTGTTGGGTCTCCTCTGCACTGGCGACTCTGTCTGCAATCTATCTTTAATCTACTATAACAGCATGCCCAGATTAATCTTCCTGAAACACAGTCCTTATCATGTTACCTTTACAAACCATGAGAAGAGTTCCCATTCATTTTGTGTTTTCAGTGCATCAGGTGCTCTGCAAAATCCTACATGTGTTGTTTTCTCATGTCAGCCCCACAATGACCTCATGAAATAGGGGTTATTATTATCCCCATCTAAAAGACTTGTAAACGGGCAAAGAGCTGCAGAAACCCAGAAATCACACAGCTGGATGCGGGGGAACCAAGTCCCAAATCTACCACTCTGTCTCGGTCTCGCCCCACTGCAGGTTCCTTCTGGCCCCAATCCCTCCAATAAAATCCTTCCAGTTCACAGGATCTGAACTGACATTTCTCTGAGAAGATATACAGATGGCCAACAAGCGCGTGAAAAGATGCTCAACAACATTGACTGTAAGGGAAATCCACATGAAAACTACAATAAGATACTACTTCAGACTCATTAGTTTAGCGATAACAAGAAAGATAAGCAGTAGCAAGTGTTGTTGAGGATGGGGAGAAATCAGAGCCCTCCTACGCTGCTGGCGGAAGTGCAGTACCGGGCAGCCGCTGGGGAAAAGGGTCTGGCGGTTCCTCAAACAGTTCAACATAGAGTTACCAACTGACCCCACAATTCTAATTCCTAGGTATACACCCAAGGAAAGTGAAAAAAATATATCTGCACAAAAACTCATACACGAAGGTTCATAGCAGTATTATTCATATAGCCAGAAAGAGGAAATAACTCAAATGTCCATCCAGTGATGAATGGATAAACAGAGTGTGGTCTATCCATTTCGATGAAACATTATTCAGCCACAGAAAGGAGTGAAGTTCAGTGAAATGAATGAACCTTGAAAACATTATTAAAGGGAAAGAAACCAGACACAAGATCACAGAGTAGGTTATTTCATTCACATTCAATGCCCAGAATAGGGGCGCCTCCAGGGCTCAGTTGGCTGAGCATCTGACTCTTGGGTTTGGCTGGGGTTGTGATCTTGGGGTGGTGGGATCAAGTGGCAACTCTGGCTCCCTGCTCAGCGGGGAGTCTGCTTGAGATTCTCTCCTTCTTCCCCTCCCCCCCACATGGTCTCTCTCTCTCTCTCTCTCTCAAATAAATAAATAAATAAATATTTTTAAAAATAAAATAAATATAGGGGCAACTGGGTGGCTCAGTGGGTTAAAGCCTCTGCCTTCGGCTCAGGTCATGATGTCAGGTTCCTGGGATCAAACCCCACATCAGGCTCTCTGCTCAGCAGGGAGCCTGCTTCCCCCTCTCTCTCTGACTGCCTCTCTGCCTACTTGTGATCTCTGTCAGTCAAATAAATAAATAAATCTTAAAATATATATATATACACATATATATATACGTGTATATATATATGTATGTGTATATATATATATATATATATATATATATATATCCAGAGTAGGCAAATCCATTGAGACCGAAATTTGATTAGTGGGCCCTTAGGGATGTAAGAGGGGAGGAGAAAGTAAGAAGTGGTGGTTATAGGGTATGGGGTTTCTTTCTGAGGTGATGAAGATGTGCTAAAATTGATTGTGGTGTCTGTAAATGATATCTCAGGAAAACCATTACCCCCCCCAAAATTCTGGCCATTGTTAATATCTTTATGTGTGAAACATATACAAATTCATGAGAAAAGCCCTAAATCTTCAATAGATAAATAAGTATAGGGGTGCCTGGCTGGCTCAGTTGGTTAAGCGTCTGCCTTCGGCTCAGGTCATGATCCCAGGATCCTGAGATCAGGCCCCACATTGGGCTCCCTGCTCAGTGGGAAGCCTACTTCTCCCTCTCCCACTCCCCCTGCTTGTGTTTCCTCTCTCACTGTCTCTCTCTCTGTCAGATAAATAAATAAAAATCTTTAAAAAAAAATAAGTACAGGACATAAGATAGAAAACTCATAAGAGAAAAAATACAAATGGCTAATAAACTTGTCTGGAGGGGGAAGGCTTACCTTCAAATGCAAATTGAAAGAAAAAGAAATCCTTTAAACGAGCAAAGAATTTTACAACAAAGATGATGAAGACATGGTGAAATGAGTGTTCCCATCCACAGAGGATGAGAAGCTTTCTAGAAAGCAGTTAGCAGTCAGCATGCATTGGCAGACTTTGGGATGTTCTTACCCTTCCAGGCATTTGGGCTGTGGAGTGTTCCACTCAGGTCTTGATCTCAGGGTCCAGGCATGGAGCCCCATGTGGGGCTTCGTACTCAGCAGGAAGTCTGCTTTGCTCCCTCTCCTTCTTCCCCTCCCCCAAACCCTGCTCCTGTTCTCTCTCTAAAATAAATAAATAAATCTGCTCTTTCCGCCATCTTTCCTTGCCGCCATAATGGAGCGCATGAATGCCCTGGCAGATGCTCTCAAGAGCATTAACAATGCTGAAAAGAGAGGCAACCGCCTGGTTCTTGTTAGGCCATGCTCCAAAGTCATTGTCCGGTTTCTCATGGTGATGATGAAGCACGGTTACACCAGCAAATTCGAAATCACTGATGCTCACAGAGCGGGGAAAATTGCTGTGAACCTCACAGGCAGGTTGAACAAATGTGGAGTGATCAGCCCCAGATTTGATGTACAACTGAAAGATCTAGAAAAATGGCAGAATAACCTGTTCCCGTCCCACCAGTTTGGTTTCATCGTACTGACAACCTCAGCTGGCCTCATGGGCCATGAAGAGGCAAGACGAAAACACACAGGGGGGACAATCCTGGGATTCTTTTTCTAGGGACGTGATACATACGTGCAAATAAAATGCCTCAATGGACCAAAAAAAATCAATCAATCAATCAACCAACCTTTAAAAAAAAAAAGTTTTTACCCTTCTAGTCAATAAATGTGTCATAAGAAAATAATATGTAATGCAGGGAATAAGATATTCAGAAGAGCATGTTAGCAGTAGAAAAAACTGGGGAAAAACTATGTAGTAGGCAGACTCCAGAATGGCCCCCAGTGATCCCCACCTCCCAGCATTCACACTTTTGTGTAATTCCCTCCCCTAGAGTGTGGGTTGGACTTAACTGATTCACTTCTAATAAACAGAGTACATCAGACACAATTAGATTATAAAAAGACTGAGTTTTCTTGAGTACCCTTTCTCATTTTCTCTTCAGATAGATGATAAACAGATACCTATAGATGTCTGTGTCTTCACCTATCTGCCAATGGTGGGAGAAAGAGCCGATGTCTCCAACCAGCAGCCAGCAAGGAACTGAATTCCGCCAATAGCCAAGTAAGTTTGGAAGTGGGTCTTCCCCTGTTTGAACCCTGAGATGACCGCAGCCCACCCAACATCCTGGTTGCTTCTTTGAGAAGCCCTGAGCCAAAGCCACTTTAGATTCCTGCCCCACAGAAACTGTGAGGTAATAATCGTTTGTTGTTTTAAGCCATCGAGTTTTGGGGTAATTTGTTACATAGAAATAGATAACTAATACAACTGGGTTTCTGAAGTAGTAGAATGTTATACTACTTAAAAAGTTTAAGAACTTTTAATAACACGGGAAGATGTTCAGAATACAACATTGAGAACAAAGCAAACTACAAAAAGATACATGATACGATCCCAATTTTGTAAGTCTATATATTTATATGAACACTTGCAAGGGAAAACCTGCAAGTAAATCTGTTGAGAATCAACAGTTTTCTCTGAAAAACTGAATAGGTGTTCAATGCATGCTCCTTGATTTCAGTTAGGAAATAATTTACACTGTCCATCTTTATTGAATGTCTACAATGTGTTGGCCAGCCCCCGGGGAGACAGAGAGGAACAAGACCAAGACCCTGTTCTGGGAGAGCTCACTTCTTGATGATATCTTATGGTGGTTTCTTCTTTGGTGGCGGTGCTGGAGATAGAGAGATGGAGAGTAGTAGATGGACTGGCAATACATTTTAGAGGGAGAATATTTTTTAAAATTTAAGTTCAATTAATTAACATGTAATGTATTACTTGTTTCAGGGATACATGTCTGTGAATCATCAGTCTTATAGAATACCCAGTGCTCATTACAACTCATACCCTCCCCAAAGTCCATCACCCAGTTACCCCATCCCCCCTATCCCCTCTGTTCCAGCAATCCACAGTTTGTTTCTTAAGATTAAGAGTCTCTTACCGTTTGTCTCTCTCTCTGGTTTCATCCTGTTTCATTTTTTTTCTAGACTTAGAACATTTTTGTGCCAAAAAAGAACAGTGAAGAAATATGGTTTACTTTTGAGTTATTGGATTGGCTAACTCGCGTGGAGGATTCTGGAGCTAGACTCCTTGGTATGATATCCTGGTGCGATCAGCTACCGGTGGGTGACCTCACGTCCACAGGCTCCATAACCTCTGCATGCCTCATCTCCTTATCTGTGAAGTGATGCCTTTCCCCATCCATTTTGGAGATAACCACATAACTCAGGCTTGTGGGGAGGCATGAGTTAGTGTAAAGAGCTTAGAAGAGTGCCTGAAAATTGAAACATTGAAACATTGAAAAATGCCCCAAATTGTTAGCCATTGTTACCATTGTTAGAATTATTGAGATGGGGACAACTAAAAAAAAAAAAAAAAAAGATCAAAACTGAGAATGAATGTGACTCCTTAGGAAGTGTAACAGCTTTTAATATTTCTTTATTACATTGGAATCCTGCCATCTTTAAAGGTTATCTAGTTACCTAGTTATGGGAGTAATTTATATGCTATGTCATCATTAACACCATCATCACTGTGGATTAGAGGTGCCTGGGGAAGGAATAAAAGGGCAGTAAATTTTAATAGGGACTTTAGGGAATGGTCCTACCAGGGAGGGGTGATGAGGCAGGCTGAGCCCCAGAGGGGAAGAAACTGCTGAGGGAGGTCCCTGGAGGGGAGGAAATAGGAGGCCACCGACCTCCCTCCCACCTCTGGGTCCAGGACAGCTCCTAATAAGCTTTTTTTTTCCTTTTAAGGTTTTATTTATTTATTTGACAGAGAGCAAGAGCACAAGCACAAGCAGGGGAGCGGCAGGCAGAGGCACAGGGAGAAGCAGGCTTCCAGTGGCACAGGGAGCCCCCATGTTGGGCTCCATCCCCAGACCCTGGGATCATGACCTGAGCCAAAGGCAGATGCTTAACCAACTGCGCCACCCAGGCATCCCATGAGCTCTTTTAGTGGCTCTAAGCACCAAAAGGATTATGATGCTACGTCTCCCATATATGATTCAAAATAAAAAAGACGCTTCACTGAAAAATATGTGGATAAAATCCCCAAAAGTTCTGGGTCTCTCCAAAATGGGCACCTTGATATGTTTTTCAATATCATATTCTTCCTCCCAAATATTCTCCCCTCATTTCATGGGTCTCATTTCTTTATGTTCCTGCTTTATGGGTACCTAAGCTTATTTTCGGTTTGCATTATAAGTAATTCCACCTGGAAAGCTTTGGCCACTGACAAGCACCTGGACAAAGTTATCTGGCAGGTTCTGTGGAGGTTATGATCACCTGTCCTCAGGACTCTAATACCTCCCCTGTCTCCGAGCGAGAGACAATTCCAGCACCCATACATTTGACTTGACACTGATGGAGTTCAATGAGAGCCCAACCCAATTAAAGGATACAAAAGTATAAGCACAGACCAGATTTACATGACTGAACTTTCTGAGCCTAGAGTGATAGTCCTTTTAAAAGGCATTTATGACCGCACTCTGAGAAGTTGCTGAGTTTTATGAAATCTAAAGGATGTCCCTCCCAACTTGGCACATTCCCTGCCTTAATTATCCTTCCAAAAATCATGAAATAGCATTGTGTTGCCTGGAAAGGACTCTCCCACCTTTGTTTGCTTACTGTCAATGGCACAGATTGATTTGCTGAATTGCTAAGAAATTCTTGAGATCTTCTAGCTCAAAGGTTATGAATTCCTTTCCCAACCCATGTGGTCTTTGGAGGCAGCACACATATCTTCATTGGACCTCTCCAACACCTTGACTGGGGGTGGGGAGGGAAGAATTTAAGTTGTTTTGGGGTGATGGTTTCTTTCATTTGCCTCAGCCCCCAACCCCTTGCCTCTATAACGCTATTCCTTGCATTCATGCAAACTGACTGAGCTCTGATGACAGGCCTGAGTTTTGTCCACCGATGCTAGTTTGACCTCCAACTACCCCAAATAAAAACCCTTCCTTACCCAGGACTGTAAACTTGACACCAAGGCAAGCAGGTGTCGCTCTCTCTCTCTGGTATCAAAGCTGAAAGGAGCGGGCCTGGTGGCTGTCATGTGCCTGGCCACCAGCCCCATGGAGAGGCAGCACACAAATAGAGAAGCAGAGAGGAGAAACAGAGGAGGGTCTCTAAGAGGTCTGGTTTTGGGTTCTACATGTTGTCTACGCCAGTCCAAGTTGGGTTTTCCTCCCTTGAAAATAAGTCCTGAGTAATGCACCCTGTGCCTAGCAATGTTCCAGGAATAATAACCACAAAGGAGAAGTTAATTTTGACCCTTGCAATGCTGCTTGCTAGCTCCTTTCATCTGGATTAACATATATACCCACCTCTCCACCACAGTTGTGGGTGATGCGCACTGCACAAGAAATCATTACAGAGCTTATAAGGAGGGAGACGATGCTGGCTCGTATCCAAGAGAGAGCCAAGGGAGGTGGCAGTACACAGAGAATGAGAGATGCGCTGAAAGGAGTCCGGGGTGGGGGGAGAGACTGTGAACTGGCCTTTCATTTCCAACGTTTAATAATCATACCTCTGGTTACCCACGAGATGGTTCCCTCATCTCCATGAGGCCAAACAGTGAGAAAGGAACAGGTTTGCGTGATTTCATCTTCATTTCACCAAACCAGGGTATGTTCCCGGCAAGAAAAGGAAACCTTCCTTTAAACTAACATTTTTTCAGGAAAATATTTGAAATCAAGGTGTTGGAGATGGAAATCCCTGCCCCACCTCCCTTCTTAGTGGCTGGTCAGTTACAAGCACCTTCTTCCTCACACCACCATAGGAATTCAAGCCCACTCTTCTGTCCCATTCATTGGTGGTTCTCCAAAAGAGGTCCAGCCACTTATCTGTCGGAAGCCAGACCGGAAAAAAGCTCATTCAAACCCATCTGAAGGCAAAATGATGAAAACGTTCCGAGGGGTCCAGGGGAGGGGTTGGCAAACGAGGGCCTGCAGGCCTGCTGCCCGTGTGTATAAAGAAAGTTGTGTTGAAATGCCCACGTGATTCATCATGTATTATCTATGGCTGTGGCCACTGAGGAGTTGTGTTGAGAACTTTAAAACACTTCCCCACGTGTTCCTTTAAGAAAAAGCCTGTTGACTCCGGCTGAAAGCAATGCTTGAAACCTATTAAGTCAGCAGCCTATGCAACAGTTTCGGGGTCACTTCTGCCCCAAACTGAACTGCCCCTTGGATCTGCCCATTGGAGAACATCTTGGTGCTCAGAGAGAGAATGTTATCCCATCCAAATCAGCCATATGCTTTGTTCCTACATTCCCTGCCACTCACTTTAATATTTGTTTCATTTCAATCTTCCATATCCATAGCCCATGCATACGTGTTACCTCTGCCTCCTACTCCCTAAATCACTTACTCACCCAGCCCAGGCCTGTTTCCACCACATTCTTCCAACTGTGGAACTCATGCTCACGATTAGGTTTGCCAATGCGGGAGGTCCTAGCAAGAGATCAAAGGTAGGAAGACTGGGGCTGGGTTTTTATTTCCCCCATTCTTTCCTGCTGGAAGCAGCGGGTTTGCTGCCCCCTCCTACAGGAGCACACTC